ATGTAATTGGTTTCTGAGTAACCTAAACAACCCTGCCTGGAACACCTTTCCAGATATATTCTTCCTTTGGTGGTAAGGGACAGTGACCAGAGTAGTTTATATTAAACCTCAGCACAAAAAGTAGAAAGTAATTATGACTGCTCAAAAACCACAATAGCAGTCAGAAATCAAAACCCAACATTAAATGTATATAAGAAAAAGATACAATGTTGAGATTGTTATAGTTTTACACGATAAATGCAAGTGTACCCAAACTTCAGCTGTTAGACACAGTTTTTGGTGGCCTTTTGTATCCCCCCATGGTGTCCTTACTTAGAAAAATTAGCTCAAAGTTGGGGAAACTCTTTGAATTTCACACAGTCTGCACACCCCTCAGGATAAATCTGAGCCTTGACTCTTGTTTCTCTCTCTGAGAGCAGTGTCAATTTTTTTCCGGAGCTTGTCGAAAGACACTGAATGCAGCTTAGAGGGAAAACTTGTTACCTCAATTTTACTCTCAGATTTCTCTATAGTTCACATACACATGTACTTGAACTTCCTGATGCTAACATCAAATTTAGAAACATTTTCCTTTTTGCCACTGCTGCTGAAAATTCAAAATGAGCTGAATTCATAAGAACTGTAAAATAAATGTATTCACATGTAAGGGCTGCGTATGGGGGAAAAAAAATAAAATATATGTATATATATATATATATATAAGAACTAAAACCAGGGGGAATAAGAACTTAACAACCTGGGGAATTTCTGTGCAGAAGAAACAATCAAGCTGATCAATCAAATGTTAAATACTGGAAGAAATAACTCCGCTAAAAGGATTAGCAGTGACCATGGGCATTAATAAAAGGAAAGGATAAGACTTGTAAAGATACAACATAAATGAAGTGAATTAAAAGTATTGAAAGTCCCAATCAACTCTAATCACAATTAGAAAAACACAGCCCTTCTCTACAGCTAAATCTAAACAAACCTTTAAATCCAAAAGATTTTCCTTATAATTCTGTTGTAGTGAAGTATGAAGGTGTTATTTAAAAATTTTCTTCTGGCTTCTATTGCTATGATTTCTGAGAGCTATAGTCAGGAACAGAAAATCTGGATTATCTTTCACTGAGGTGGAAAAGGGATAGTCGATTAATATTTTTTTAATTGAGGAAAACTTATTTGTGGTGTGTTCATCTCATTTCATAAAGGTCTTCAGCACAGAAGTCCAAACTACTGAAGTGCAGCTGGCTGTGTTTATCTGTTTTACCTCTCTCTTCAGCAAAATATGGAAGACATGGTGACGATTAATGACAAGTACCATTGTGTACCTCTATGTGAAATATTTTTTGTACTTTTTACTTTATCCATTTGAATTTGCATTGTAAAATGATACACTGTGAACTGGATGTCAATTCAAATTTACCTTGCTTTCATACTACATGAGAAATCATGGATTTTCAGATCAAGAGTTAGCTGTGGCAATTGGTATCACACATGAAATCACTTCACTAGAAAAGATACTGAACTGAAATTCTGAAGTTTCTCTTCTCAAAGCAAGCTACAGGATGACAAAAACTAAAGAATAAAATAAGCTTTAAGAATGGGATGTTTATATGAAAATGGAAGACACTACAGGAATATTCAAAAAAGCAAGAGTATTGAAGCTTTAATATGTAGGGCATCCATTCAATCTCAATTCAATGTTCTGGTCATACACTCCCCCAGGGTGTCCACCTCCCTGTCTTGAATCCTCTTCCTTTTTGTCATTTAGTGCTTGGGATTGAGTCATATCATTCTTTCACTCTGGAACTAGGAGTACCATAGACATTAAAGATGTAGCATTCTACTAGCCCATCAAAAGCTGAGCATTTGTAGTTTTCTTCTTTTTTAAAAACTTGATGATGAAGCAGGAAATATCTTTTTTAAAGCAAAACTTAAAGCAAAGTTTAATTTAGCAGATAAAACATAGGCATCAAGGAAAAAACATTTTAAAGCAATTTAGAAAAATGTAAGTGCCTGTTTAGCTTCATCTAACCAACTAACCTTAACATACACTATCAAAATTAGAGTTCTCAAATTACATGAACACACAGCAAACAAGAATTTACTCTGGTCTCACTTCACTTGTTACAACATCACTTTTAGACAATTCCAGGAAACTGGCTTCTCAAACAAATGAAAAGCTATTATATTCTGCCTTTGCATTGTAATTGTCATATTATCCCATGGTGTTTTAAACAGTACTTTGTTTTATTTACAGTATTTTTTTTTTTTCACAACTAATTTCTCCAGAGAGCTGGCCTGGATGTCTAGGATATTTGGACATCTGGTAGGATATACCTACAACACTTTCTTCATTGTTTTAGAGTTAAAACTTTCCAGGTAAACAACCTGTACTCACTAGCCTTGAGACCACCTCCTTTGTATGTTTCATTTTCCCCTCTGGAAGTTTGAATTGTGTTCAATAAACCACCTATAAGGTACAGATGAATGTGACTGCCACTGTCAATCCCTGTAGCATTTGTCACAGTAGTGCCCAAGCACAAAATAATCAGGTGTGAAGAGAGCACTTCAGCTCATTTCTCTGGATTTCAGAGAACCATGTTAAAATGCTCTACTGCAAACTGCTCTGATATTACAAAAGATGTATATAAATCCTGAAGATGGTATCACATCACATACAGCAGATGCTTCACAGCAGAGGTGACAGAGAGGTGACAGAGGTGTCTTGCCTCTAACAGAGGCAAGACAGCACCAGAGCTGAAAATGGTGCAATCCTAATAGGCTGAAAGGTTTTGCTGCTAAGGTGGCTAAACTACTGCCTCTAAGCTATAAGCCAGCTGTAGTGCTTCAGTACTGTTTTTCAGAAGACATCCAAAATGACAGCTTGGTAAAACTGGAGTAAGGGTAATTCCTTAGCTCTTAGCTTCCTCTCCTTTCCTTTACATGATGTGGTTTTTGGAGTAGAATTTTCACTTATAAATATAGGTGCATTGTGTATTATGTAATGGATCTGAGTGTGGTTAGGAAGGTGCATAAAACTACAACACAAATTTGCAAGATGCCGTGTTCAAAGTGAGTCAGATCTCCCCAGCCAAGATGATGTAAAAACAGGATTCAAATATCATTAGTTTTATTAGGCACTAGCATTAGAGGAAATGTCAGTTCTGCTTTTACTTTACCATAAAACTGATAATATTTAATTGAACAGAACTGAAGTGCTCACTAGATGGTAGTTGAAACACATTCATAACCACTTTTCAAGATATGATCACAGCTCAGGTACACTCACAGCTTGAGAAAAGTTTAATCGAACAGTGCATCATCTCAAAATCCAGTCATTCCTGCTCAAAATACATAGAGCCATGCTTCTGAGTTTCACAGTAAGATCCCAGCAATTTTTTATTTTGTTTTCTGTGAAGGGAGAGCATGACTTTTACAATCTATGATGTAGATTGTCCTGTTTATTCCACTTCTAGGTTATAGTGTCTATTTTATACATAACTCTTCACGTGAGTTTATGTCAGGCTTCAGAAAAATTAAGTGCTGTATAAAACCAACCTAGCACCTTGCTATTGCACCTTATTAATTTTTGTTTTCTGCTTATATTTCAAGCCTATACCCAGTCTTTTGTGTGCTATCTTGTGTGCTAACTCTACATTACTCTGTTACAAGTCTACAAAACTCCAGCCACTTATTTATATTTTTAAAATATGAGAAGTTACAAGTGTGAAATTCCCACAGTAGTCACAATGATTGTTAAAAATCAACACAACACACTCATTCTAGCATTTATTAGGTGCTAATTTACTAAAATGTCCTAACGTAATCACTGCCATAGATAATGTAAGCTCTTTGCAGAAAGGATTTTCCTTGCCTGCAGAGAACATGGAAAACAGGCGTTGCAGAATGCTGGATCCTGAGATTTGGATTCTTTAGTAAGACAACAGTACTAGGCAGTTCAAATTAATAATCATCTAGATAACTGCAAGCAAATAAACATGAAACCCTTTGTATCTATGACCATTGTGGACACCAAACACTGCGGTACAGCTATGAGCACAGAAACATATTTCTATTTATTTATTTACTGTATGTTATGCCTTTACACTATCATTTATGAATATATTTTTAGCAGATGAAAACAAGCGTCAAGGAGTAGTATAGAGAGACAGTGCTCAAAGAAGTGCAAAGCTTGAGAGAAGTAAGCATCAGACAATTGTATCACTGTCTAAGAAGAAAATGGAAAACAGAGGAGAAGCCTTCTCTCCATTCAGGGTATTCTTTCTGTATAATTTAATATCCAACTGAAAGACTAGAGCTGAGATTTGTTAGGTGTTGAACAGTTTTGAGCATGAAGGTCCATGTCCTTGTACAGGTAATATTTACATCTTCAATTTTCATTACTAAAAGGACAGCACTCTTGCTTACTAAGACATTCTATGTTCTTTGGTGACTGCCACTTTTCCTGGAGAAAAGAACTTCTTTTCTTTCCCCACAATGCTGCAACTAATTTAATCACAGTTCACTGCAGGAAAAAAACAAACCTGAATATCCTTTGGGTTAAAGAAAGAGATTTTTTTTTCCTCTTTTAGTTCTTTCTCTTTTTCTCCCTATCTTTCTTATTAAAAAAAAGTTCCCTTCAAGAATTCAACTTTACATTATTTTCTTAATTTCATCTGTATTTCAGCATCTCCAGCTGAATTATATTAAACAGTATATGCAACAAAGTATGACAAAAGTTCACATGAATTCATGTCTAAATAATGATCAAATCTTACTGTGCTCACTCTTCCAAATGTCTCAGCTGTCTCAGAGTAAAAACCTAGCAGTTCAGGGTCATGTGTTGTGGACTTTGTAAGTACAGAATTTTACAGTATAAGCACTTAAAAATCAATCAAAGCAAACAACAACAAGAAAACAACTAGGTTAGTCTTACTCTAGCATTTTGAAGCTCAAAATGGGAAAAGAACTTATAAAGCTCACACCCACTCTGCTTTTATTATTCATTTGCATACCGTGTTAGTTGAGTTTCCATTTAAATGTAAGCCACTGTCAAAAAGAGGTGATGAAGTTCCACTGCTGTGATCACTGGATGGTCCAGGGGAACCTGGAAATGAGTTCAAGAAAAATACCTGCTGATGTTAAAAATATATGTACATATCAGACAATATCTATTCCATTTGTAAAACACAGGAAGAATTTTTAATATAATTCCCCAAACCAAGACAGAAATACTACTTGTATTTTAGAAAGACACACAATTAAATATCCACATGCTGTATTTGATGTCTAGAAATAAAAAAGGTTTCTAGATGTCATCTAAGAGTGGTTGTGCTCATGAGATCTATTTGTATGCTTAACTGTTTGTAGGATTAAGCCTTGTTTCACTGAGAATGAGACATTCAAAACAAGTAGCTCTTGTCTTATCCTTAAGTGATACTGAATCTATACCTACAAATAATCCCATGTAAAATTCTTGTCAAATTCTGGGTTTTTTTGTTGGCAAGAACAAATAAGTAGAACAGATTAAAAATGTTGTGAGAACTGTAGGGAGATATTTCCATGTTAAGGCATCTTGTACTTTTGCCATGACATGAGATGCTGTAGGGAAGGGAGATGTATAAGAAGGAAGCAGGGGAGGCAGATGCAACTCCTGCTGATGTACTCACAGTGATGATATGGGTTGATGTAAAGAGACAGTATGATTGCAGTTAAAATGAACACACCACAGCACTAAAACTGCCAGCACAGCAGCTGGTCTGACTGAATGCTGGAAGGTAGGGGACCAAGTGCCTCAGTCTTCTGGGATGCCAGAGTAGCCAAGATACTTCAGAATCATGCATGTATGCACTTAAATACTGCCTGCAGTGTGATTTGGGAATTTCTTTATTGCATAATGGAATTGCTACTTAGCTTTCTAAATGTGTCATTGATGCTTCATGACTGGAATTCTCTTTTGTGCATGGACTTGTGAAAAGTTTTTCTTGCAAAGGGGTGCTATTCTCTGTAACTCCAGTTTGTTTATTGTATTAAATCAGAACTATTTTCCATAATTTTATCCATCTTATTTGCTTATTTTCTTACTACAAGAATGAATATTTATAGCAATCCATTTACCAAATATCACTTGACTCACAAACCTTGGTTTCAGCCTTGTTTGAATGGCTACACAGAACATTCTAGAGAGGTGTATGTAAGCTCTTGTGGAGGTCCAAGTTCAGTTCAGGAGAAGGGTAATTTCTTAAGTTCCTTACATGTCTAATCATATCTAGCAGGTTTTGGTTGGTTTTTTTTTTTTGTGGTGTTTTTTTTTTTTTTTTTTTTTGTTTGGTTTTTTTTGGGGTTTTTTGAGCATGTGGTATAAGGCTGGGGTCCTGCATGGGACCTGGGAGGGTAGTATAATACTTGCCAAAAATTTCCACATGGTCTGCATAAAGGAAGCAAGGTTGATAAGCTGCCCAAAATAAGCAGTTTGTGCACAAGATGTCTCATTTCAGAAGCACTGTTGTGCTCCTTGGAAGTCTGGTAGCTTGTCTAAAATGGCACTGTCATTGTTGTTCCAGAAAAGATTTTCTTTGAACAGTAATCAGGGGCAGACCCCAAAAACTGCCAGCTGGTCACATTGAGATGGGAGATGGCCTCCCTAATGATAACTGCTTTCTGTTTCCAGAAAGAGCACTTTATGGAAGCAGTGCCATGATCTCAGCCTCCCAGACAATGATGCTGCAGTATCTCCTGGTGAGAAAGCCAAGCCCCCCCATGATGTACAAAGAGGGCACCAATATTGCTGGACCTACATGAACTACTTGTGAAGGTGGCAGCCAGCTTGTGTAGAGCGTGTACTAGGTCTTAGTGGCAAGGGCTTATGGCCTGGGATGCCTCCAGAAGTGGGAAATTGTTGGGACTGCCCTGTGCCAGAAACAGCCAGATCCCACATTACTGCTGGGCCATGCAGCTGAGCTGGTAGCACCTCTGGGAAACTATTTAATAAAGGGTAAATGCAGAAGGGCAGAGACAATAGTAAGGAAAAGAGTGACACAAAAATCAAACAAACCTCAAGGTCAATGAAAAAGGTGATGGACAATTTATTTGTCTTAATTTCTCATTGCCTGAATCTATTTTAATAGGCAATACATGTATCTAAGTTTCTCCTCATTGCCTCTGCTTTGGCCATGATAATAATTAATAGCTAATCTCTTTTGACCTAAGAGCTTTTTTGTTCTACTTGTACAGCAAGTTCTGTTTGAGAACAGGGAGTGAGAGAGTGTCTGAGTGGGAGTTTGCCTCTTAGCTAAGGTTAACCAACAACAGGCAGTACAGTTCAAGTATGTGATGTCAGTCTACAAGATGAGATACAAGTTCTAGTAGCACTGTCATAGTCAAAAATAAATATGCCCAACAACACAGACGCTACTGGTAAGATGTTGCTAATTTGCCAAAATCATGTTAAAGCTTGGACACAGTTATCCAAGCCACAGTCAACACAATTTTAGAGTTGTCTGATGATATAGTAGGAAAAGTAGGAAGACCATACCTGAAGACTCATTATAAGAAACACTGACCATATATTTTCAAATGAAAATGATAAAAAGTAAGCACTGAAAGAAAGATTCTAGCATGAAATGCACAGTTCAGCTTAGTAGAGGCCTGCCAAATTGGCTTTTGAAAGGTATAAAAATCTAGATTAAATGACTGACATCCTTTTAATGGCAAGGTCTAAACTGTGACATCTATGATTCTGCTGAAATTAGAAAAAAAACCAGGTACATAGCTGAGTGCAACTTAAATAAATAAAATCTAAATCAATCCAAAGAACAAGACACATTTCAAAACTTTTTACTTATTTTGGAGAGAAAAAAATCTGTTAAAATAAAATGGTGCAAAAATCATTTAATCTGATTAAATAAAGTGATTTTTTATGAACACTTTTCTACTTGCAACACTGATCACAACTGTGCAACTTGAATATTTTATCTGCTAACCAAAAGAGCCCCAAACTTCCCTGATCTGTATTGTTCATACAATTTTTAGTATTGCTACTGTTAAACTACTCAGTTGTCTCAACATAATTCTGCTGACAAAACCAATCAAAATAGCAAAGTAATTTTGAAACATACATAATTAATGTTATCCATTTATTTGGTAAGTGCCCTGAAAGTACCTTTCAGTGTAAATGTATGATTCATATGTTTGCAAACACTATTTTATTGTATTCGGGCAAAGCTTCTATTGAAAAACTTTCAGCTATCACCCATGACTGTACTGCATTTTAATGATTTTTTTCAGTTTTATTTTGAATAAATTATACATAAGCAGCAAGGCGGTATGCATTTGATTCTTATATCTTAAACAGTAAAGTAGACAGATAATTTTCTATTTCTTCCTGTAAAGCACTCAAGGATTGAATTTCTATTTCTGTCACTGTCAGCTTATTACAAGAATACTGCAAAGAGGAAAACAAATTACTCCCATTCACTAATTTCCTCTTACCTAATGGGAGCTTTAAAAATGATGGAGCGTCCCTGAGGTATTGAACTGTGATGGTAACTTCATCGCCAGCATTTCGCAGTAGGTGTACCTGTCAGTGTGACAAATAATGACTACTTTAAACCAAAGAACAGTCATGGAAAGCACATTTCTTACAATAAAATCAACATTCCTGTTGCTCTATAATAAACTCAGTGTAAGCATTTCTGACTTAGAATGTAGAATAGTTGAGGATCAAGCCACACCAGCAATGGAAAAGAGTAGGCAAGACCAGTGGAACCACCTGAATAAATAATTTGCTGGGCAACCTGATATTACATACCAGCTGAACACAACTTTCACAAAATGATTTTATAAAATTGACACAGGATAGTAGGGAAATATGTGTTTATACAGACATAATACATTAATTTTTCTGTATACAAACAGAAAGATACACGGAAATATATTAAATACATCATCCACATCTTGATCTTAAGTATTTGGTTTAATTGATTTGGGTACCAAATTAAGCATACTTTTGTGTTTCAAATAGAGTCTTGAGTTTTGTGTTTTTATTGTCTATAAGCATTTGTTAATCAAAAGGGAACACATACACACACATGTATAGACTTGTTTTAAACCATCAGAATTCACTTTGGGGCATAGCACACTACCACATAAAATGTTTTTTAAAATGCAGAACTACAAATAATATCTCTGATGGAACTCAGTTCCTACTACAGGGCAAAGGTGTTTCCCAGTTTCATATCCATGACTCTCAGGAAACAGGTATTGTGTTTGGTTTGCAAATGTCCTGTGCCCACAGGGTCTGCATATCCCTGACCCAGTTTGTCAGAAATGGATGCTACAGCTTGTGGGCTCTAATCTGAGCACAACCAGAGCATTCATCCACCAAGCAGAAAAGTACCTAACTCTAGCACACTGGCTTATATAGATGCATTTAATGGTTTAATGTGCTGGGAGGAAGCTGGTGATTGTGTTGTTCCAGACCACTGTTTTAAAAAAATGCCACATTGGCCAACATCATGAGATGCAGGATTACCTTGAATATTTTAAGTTTTCCACTTGTGTACATAAATAATGCTTACACCAGAGACTGATGTATTAATTTACATGAAAACATCAAGCTTATGTCTGATGGAAATCAAGAACCTAGTTTCTTTTTTTTTTTCTTCCACCCCCATCTCCTGCCCCCCCCTCTCACCCCAGATTAATCTACTTTAAATTATTTACTATGAAAAATACAACAGCCAGTGCTACCTACTCAACCCAAAAATCTGAGTGTTGTGCTTTTGTGGACAGCTGACTATAAGGGATCCTGAGGTCTCATTGTGGGAAAAAATGCTGTGGAGAAAAATAATATGATCACTGATTTCTGACTAAAGCATTTGAAGATGGTCACAACAGGACTGATAGTGCAGCAAAATTTGCATGCTTTTTTTAGGGTCATCCAAAAATATGTTAGGGCTGCAAAGCTAACCAGTATGTATTAAATCCTAAGGCACAAGAAAGCTATGTCTCCTGAAATCTTCTGCCCCTTATTTCCTGCAAGAAATTTCCTATTTCTTAGTTTAGATATCATTTATTACTCAATAAACAGTGAAGATGATTGGTAGCTTTGCTAGTCTCACTCTACTGTTACAAAGATAAGACAACCAATATATTCCCTTCCAAATTAAAAATGTCAGCAAGTGTCAGGGCAGGGAGACAGTTGTCAGTTGGCAAAAAATACAAGATTCTGTTACCATGTTCTGCTGTTCTTGTAATACCATTTTACTTTTTACTGCATGGTAAATCCATTAAAAATGCCAACTTTAGTTTATAATCAGGACAGAAACAGCAATGTTTTGCATAACTAAATAGAAAATTTTAAAACCAACAAATTTTAAGTGTAGTCCTGATATATCTAATGGGAAAAAATATAAACCAAATAAAATTAATACTGAGAACTCACTTTCTTATTCACAATTGCCTTTTTGAATAAGCCAAAGAAGTGAAGTACTTTAATTTTACCTTTGGAATAACAAGAAAGATTTTTAATTTCTTAATAGAAATAAATATTTTGTAAACACAGAAGAACAACTATGTTTCCTCTTAATTAAGCAAAGATTGTTTGCACACAAACATTTATATTTGTCAAGAAATGAAAGGAGACAGCATGACGGACATATTGCCTAATGTATTTTTGGAAGATATTAGTCAAATTTTACAAAGACAAATCCAAAAACTGTTGGAAAAAAAATGAAACAGTAGACTAGAAACTGTTGCAGAGTATGAGATTTCACTTTTTTAAATTTCAAATTATACTTGAAAAAGAAATAACTTTAACATTAATGATTTGGTTTAAAATTTCCCAGCATCACTAGTACCTTCAAAAATATTCACACTCTATCATACTCTCCTGAAGCTGCTTAGTATTTTTCAGGTAGTGCCTGAAGAAGTCAGAGTGTTGAACCACACACATACCAACAGAACTAAATCAATTTCAGTGATCACAAGAAGGTCTTAAGAGTCAGAAGGTCACTAAATAATGCACTCCTCTGTGATGCTGAAGCTTTTCCAAAAGTGTACTGAGTTCAAAAAAGACAAATCCAGTATCTTTTGAGTAACATTCACTGCTACGCTGTTTTAGTAAAATTATTAAGAGAGAATTGCAGAAGTGAGTGTTTTTGTTGTTTTTTTAAGGTTGATTAAATGCATTTAGTGAAGCAGACTCTGTGTGTGTCTGTGCATGTGTGTTCATGCATTTATGTTCATGTGTGTAAAGGAAAAAAGGGCTTCAGCTGAAGTGCTTGCTTTTCATGCTGGCCCAGTTCACAGGCTTTGCATATCTCTGAGAACATCTATCAGTTCAGGGTTTATTACGCTTCTCTTTCTCACATGCATTTCTCAAGAACACGAGACAATGTTACAAATATAAACAGGAGATTCTGTATCTGAACCAACTACAGCAGAGAGTCTGCAGAGAAAAATATGACTCATATTTTAGGAAAACCTAATGACCCTTGTAATCTCATTTTTACTGTCAACACCCATTAAGAGAAATTCTATATACATTTGTGCAGACAAGCCAATGGCACAATGCAAAGTTGCTGGCATTCTTTTTAAATTCTGGTTCTTTGTGTTTACTGTGATTTGATCTAAATCTTCAAACATATCTGGACATTAATATCCACACTGCTCAGAGATTTAGAAAAGGTTTTGGCTGTTTGAAACAGGTTCTGTTTTATTAAGAACAGCAATTAAAATTGAAAATGAGAATGTTTTGGATGAATTATTTCATCCATATGGCCCTTTAGCCAATATCTATTCTGAGTGCAGAAGTCAAATAATTTCACTGTAGCCATTTAAAACATTCAACTCTAAAGTATTTGCTAATATCTTTTCTAGAAATCAGTAGAGATCTTAGGTTGCAAAGAAATCCTCATTCACCGATATGTATCTCCAAATACAATGAATCTGGATGATAACCTTACACTTTAAACAGAGGAAGTTAGATGGAATTAATCTTGGCTTGCATGTCTTGAAGAATATTTAAGTACAAAAATCAGACTAAAAATCTGAAACAAAAATTTTGACGTAGAAGTACGTGAATCCCCTGATGAATGCCTGAGCTTGAGACACAAGTATTTCCCAAATAAAACACTTGAAATTCACACAAAGTGCAAATGTTGGCCTTGAAAAGTATCTGGGTGGAAGGTTATGTACAAGCCTGCAACAGAGCAGGCAAAAAACTGAGACGTAGTAAAATATATGAAGAATTAGACCATAATATATGATAGTAAAAAAAAAAACAACAAAAAATCCCGACAAAAACAAAAAAGCCCCAATGAAATCTAGATAACTAAAAGTTTTAAAAAATTCTTCACTATTCAGACAGAATAGTGTTTAACACTTAAAATGCCTCCCAGGCAAAAGTATACTTTGAGGCTCATTAGGAAAATTGGCAATTTCAGCTCAAAGCATAGAAAAGGCAAAAAAATGTGGTATTGTGCTTATATGTCTATGAGTAGGCAAGGGAGATATGTGACAGACACCTGGCAGTACAAGTAGACTTTAAAAAGACGGTAGACACAAAATGGCTTTAAAAATAATTTTTAAAATTAAAATTGGATTGCAATTCATATTGGAAGACCACGAAGTAGAATTAAGTTAGTTCAAGAAACAATGATTTCTTTATACTTGTCTCTTTTCCAATAGTCGAATATGGAATGGTTTCAAATAAATACTTTTGCTTCTTCTTTTCCTTAGCATTGCACTATTCAATGAGCAATAATCCCTTTCTAAATGCTTGGCTGGCTAATACAAAGCCAGCCTTTGTGTCTGAACAATTTATACAAATATGCTAGGAAAAACGGCAGTCAATGTAGACTTTGTAAATTTTCACAGATTTAAACCAAATTGAAACTTCTCTTAGTTTACTCATTTCTAACTTTTCTCTAATTTCTGCCTATCAATATAGTAAAAGATATTTTTACAGATAGCTTTGGCATCAATTTAAACAAATAATGCTGCTTCTGTATGACATAAATACCAGGCATTATGAACAAAAAAAGAAATTATTTCAATTTTTTTCACTATTCTGTACATACTTTTTTTCTATTTAATTACACACTCTAGTGTATAATTAGCATTGTGTAAACAATGCTTGCAAAACTGTCTGGAAGATCAAAGGTGCTGTTACATACTCTGCATTGGAAAATAAATTTTGAGTCAACTTGTCTGTTCCCTGAAGCAATTAAAATTTAAATAAATTCACTTAAGGTTAACTATTACCTGAAGCATGAAGACCCATTCCTGAGAAAGTAACATTTTCAAAAAAATTCCAAGAATATCAGAGTATTATGGGGACTTCTCTCTGGAAATGAAGGTCAGTCTCAACCGTGATCAGTGTGCTATAAATAAAAAGGGTTCAAAACTACAGAACTAAAGAACAAGGAGTATGTTTTATTGCTTATCTACTGTTTTGCATTGCTTGTAAAAAGAAATAATTGTCACAGGTATCAAAAACTCACAACAGATAGATACACATATCTGACTACATGTGATTGCAAAGGCATATGGTAAAGTGGAATCAGTATCCATATA